AACCCAGGAGCTGATGGTGCCCTTCGCCTGTGACTTCGCTGACTTTGACGATGAAGTCGGAGAAGGCGGCCAGGGGTGCAGATTGGCAGATTTCGATGGATGTGGAACTCCCTTCAATTTAGACTACGTCTTTGGGAAATCCTCAAAATATATATAATAATAATAATAATAATAATGAGCTGACTTGAGGCGCGCCAACAAGTAACTAGTTGCTTTTCCTGTCTATGCTCAAAAGAGGCCCAGACGCCAGGCCTAGCTAGTCGTCGAGCAAACTGGTTCGGGAACCGTCGACAGAACGGAAAACACGAAACTGAAGACCATGTACCACTTTACTGTCTTTAGCGCAAGACTACTCGCACGTGGAGGGAACTCCAGCGTCTGCAGCTAGCTAGTGATGACACGTACTGAACCAGCCCGTCCTGCATGCTGTATTAAAGAAAAGTACTAGTACAGCTGTAGTCAGTTCAAAGACGCTTTGTGCGACCCCCAAAAGGCGGGGAAATCCCGTACCGAGCGTAAGTAACATTCTACTCGTTTAGCCGATAAAATCGAAATAACCGTTCGATCTATTTCTTATCGAGTAAGTAACGAGTTATCGATATAATCGTTTCAGCACTACAGATAATACACTGAACTCCATGGAAGTGGATTTGGTTGTCCCTATTAGTATAATTACAGTGGGTGCTGCTTCACTTGAACCATATTTTGGTTCCAGTGAAGCAGCACTCACTGCAATAATTTGCAGAAAAATTTCTCAATCGCATCGTCGCGCATCGCGTTGCAGAAGTGATATCATGCATCGCGCTTTAGAATGTTGGCATGGCTGGGCATCACTGCCGGTAGTTCTGCCAAGAGGACGTAACCCGGATTAACCCCTGGTGGATCGGTTACACACAGAAACGCAGCAGGTTCGAGGCAGTGTCTGCATGCGATACACCATGCACACAAACCTTCATAAGGCTCTTATGAGAAAAAGCGCGCTTTCAATCTGAAAACCACAGCAGATCGTTGCGCACTGCCCCAGCCGGTACCCCAGTTTGTCGCTACATAATGTGGGCAGCAAGCCCCTTCAGACGCCTCGTGCAAAGTTGCATGCTCTTGGGGCTATGGACTCTTGGTTCAGCCACCAAAATATGAATGCAGTGGAGCTGCGTCAGCGGCGTACATGAAACGAGACAGCATTCGGTTCGTTTTAATCGATAATATCGACAGAGAATATATTATTACAATGACACCAAGAGAAGCTTTGATGGCAATTAAGGCCAGCATGTCCATCCGCAGCCATGCAGCAGCAGCAACGAGGGTACATCTCAAGAGAATACAACTACAAGTCCATACCCACTAAAATGTCATGCAAATTTTACAATATACAGAGTGTCAAGACATACAAATTTCGCACTTTCGGATTCCTCAACAGTACCATCCTAAGCACAGACAAACTAAACGGGAAGAGAACACATTTATTTATGACATCGTATTCCTTTGGATGCTTCTTTCTTCTTGTTGTGCTATTTTCAACAAGGCAACACTTCTGCTCGTAAAAATACTAAAAAACAATTTTGAGATTCCACTTAGTGCCATCGGTTATTCCAGGCAGGAATGCTCAAACCATTATCATCTCACTACACAACAATATGTACTTACTAAGATCCGCCATGAGAGCTTGGTGTCCGCAGCTCTTGGAAAGCTCAGCTCGTCTACTTCTCGATGCCAGTCGGCGAAACCAGCAAATCGTGGAGAGCAGTTTTTTCCATAAATAAAGCCCAAGATGGCGTTTGCGATTCAAATTTTCTACTCGGCGTCAAAGCACAACATTGAACTCATCATCTTCCATTGCTGCAAAGGCAAAGGAGCGAAGACAGGCCGCGAGAAAGGCCAAAACAATTGCCAAATTTCTCCCCCAACTGCCATTGTCGTCGTCATCTTCACCAACACAGTTTTGTGCAGACTTTTTCCCGCGGGATCGGACCCAGGAAAATGAAAACGGCCCACTCAGTGGCCTGGCGCACGGACTGATAGAAGAGAATAAAACGATCGACTGGAGAATGTCTCAGTGTTGTGGAGAGTGTTGTTCAACTTGTTGGAGTGTTTGGCCAGCTTGCTGTTGCGTAGATTTTAGTGTTGTACTGCTCGAAGAAGTCTTCTGAATTTTATCGCCAGTAGTATCGCAGTGGCTCAGCAGTTCGAAGAGAAAGCCTTCCGATGATCCCTCTTCGAAAACGCCATCCTTTCTTGCAGTACTAGTACTCACCTTGTGATTATCTTTGATTCCTTGATTCATTCTTTCATTCTTTGATTTTTTCTCTCATTCTTCGTGAGCTAGCTCTGCGTCCCATCACACGAGAGACTTCGTAAAATAAAATTCTTGAAGATTTTCAGTGGAAGGTAAAAATCGCTAAAATTAATCACCGCTAACTGGTCCAGTTTGCCAAAACGCTAAATTTAGCCGCCGCGAAAGTTTGTCGTTTTACAGTAGGTATTTTACTACTCTACAACTAGAGTCAGCGACTCAGCGCCGACTTCGCAAAAAAACATCAGGTTTTGTTCCAAAATTTGCACCTTTTTTTAAACGCGTCCAACCACCTTCATCAGTCATGCATTATCTATCAGCAGTTCGGAGTGTTCTACTTTCCATCCACCATAACCTCTCTTGAAGTAACATTCACTTCAATGTTTGCCATTTTTGTCAAGGAGTGGTATTCAAGAAAAGAATAATGTGTTCTCATGGCGGACTTGAGATGATGACATGACATCATGCCACCTTGCTGGCTGCAGCCTGCCAAGATCTTCAAACAGAACACCATTCGCCGCACTGTTGCTATTATTACCCAGCCGCATAACCGTACATCAGCGGCAAGACGGAATCACTCAGCATACTGTATGGCGAGCGCCAATCTAATCATGATCTGGCCACTGGACATGATTCCGCTGCTGCGTATACACAGTCCCCTGAGTACCCGGTCCCGATTCTGCCAAGCACAAGAAAATACCTGAATCCGACACGGCGGACAGTGCCGGATTGCCAATGCGTAATAGCTGCTGTGCCCCGGGAACAAACGATCTCGTTGCCCGCTAACCCTACCCGGCCCAGCTACGCTACTCGGGCACTGAAGCAGCAGCAAATGTCAATGGGCACATTGCATTCACCCACACGGCACTAGAATCCAAAACCGGCATTGGCCTGGGATCATAGACTCATGCAGAATCCATTTAACACGTGCACACACACACACACACACACACACACACACACACACACACACACACACACACACCATACACAGAAGCAACTACGGTCACTGTGCAAGCCGCTTGAAGTGATCCGACCAATGGATGCACTGCAAACTACCGTGAGAGTGCTGCTTGAAACAGCTGATTAGAAATCAGAGCACAAAGCCATGTTCCTAACAGCCCAGAAATGGAATATCTGCACTACATCCAGGGATATCCCCACTTAAATGTAGTCAGTCTTATGTACAGGACAACTAGAAACTGGAATGGGAAAAAACATTTTTAAATTTCCAAAAAATCGCTCCTGCAATAGGGAAAGGCGGCATAAATAGTACAAGCAGAGATAGATTAATGTCAACACGCAGCAGATGATCAGGCACTGGGTGACACAGAGTCAACATACATACAGAGCACTGCATCGGCAAGCTAGAATAGCATTACACATCGGCGTCCCCAGACTACTAACCGGCGGCCCTTGGAAAGCGTTCTAAAATACTACCAGTCATTTTCACAAATTGGCAACAATAAAACGTGCCGTTTCTAAATTTGAAACAGCGTGGTGGCTGCTCACTGTCACTGGTCTTGGCAGCGCTCATTCATAGAGCATTCACGCACACACGTCCGCGACTGCGAGCCGAGGCCTTGCACACACACACACACACACACACACACACACACACACACACACACACACACACACACACACACACACACACACAAACACACACATACACACACACACACACACAAACACACATACTAACGCACGTGTGCGTGCGCGTGCATGCTAACTGCAACGGTCTCGCATTGCCACCGCCCTCGCATTGCCACCGCCCTCGCAACCCCCGTCCTAGAACAACTCGGATAGTTTATCTGCATGGCATGTGCTCGTTTTCACTCTGTTCAATGGTGGTGTTCAGGGTCGTCGCTCGATTTCTTACCGCTGGTCAACATTTTCTTACAGACGAAGTACACGGTGTACACAGCAACGCCAGCTCCCAGTCCATACATGAGCTGGTTGTACGGTCGGAACGAGTTGGTCGCCTTCCACCGAAACTCTTCCACGCTGCGAATCGTGTCCTTTGGCGACGGACGGTTTTCGTACTGGAACCGCTCCTTGTCATGGAAGACCGTGCCGTAGCTAGTCCAGCTCATTTGACTTTTGAAGGTTCCAGGTGGCCGCCACTTCCCGAATCGCTCTAGGTTACCCAGGTGGCGAAAGCGATGGTTCTCCTCCGCAGACCAGAACGGATTAGGCTTGTACTTGTGCAGGTAGTACTCGTGGTGGTATCCGAACCTCTTCATCGTCTCCAAGTGGAAATTTCCCACCTTTAGGGCGTAGTGCCATAAGAACGGCATCTTGGCGGCGATTTACACAACCGAGACCCCCAGACCAACTCAGAAATTTGACCTTCCTTGTCCAACACCAAGCGCATGCAAATGGCCCTCACCGTGGCTTCCTCGCCAGGCGATTGAGGATCACGCAAAGAACACCTCCTGCTCTAGCTGCGAGCCAGAAAGTAGAGAGGAAGAAAAGTTTCTTTTCAAACTGTCCTCCTTCTTGCATACGATCAGCCTCGCTCGATCTTCTTCGAACGCCAGCGGCTAGCGAAAAAATAATACGCATCTATCATTCTGTCCTGCCAGATTTTGGCTTGGATTTTTGGAACGGTTTCAAAATATTCGGTATTATGATTTCACATCAAAAAGTTGGCGAAATCCGTTTCAATTCTGACTCATTCCTTGTAATATTGCCACGTCGACTTTGTTTGATTTGAAAATAATTGCCATCCTCATCGAAAGAAAATCTCATGCTGAATGAAGTCAGTGAAGCTTTTTGACACTTGTCTTTCTCTGGTCCCATAAAACGCCGAGCACTGTAGGGAGCACGGTCTTCCATTCCACGTTCGGCCTATCCAGCTGTTTTATTTGTTGTGAATTGATGATTGTAATTGCGGAGAATTGAATTTCAAGCTCATAGTACTGTAGGAGGAATCGGCATCAGCTATTGAATGGAGTAACCGACGGGCTGGATGTGCCGACTGGGACAGTGATAGCTAAGCTGCGTCCGTGTGTCTGTGTAGGCATCAACGGAGCTGGCCACGACTGTAGATAGTGAATCAGGCCGGTTGTGGAGTTGGGCGTATAATATTTATTTTGCAATCCGAATTTGGAATTTTTTGCTACTGTCGCCATGGACGACACACTGCAGCGTGCCACTAGACTGTTGACCCATCTTCAATATCAGTACAGTAGCATCCTGTCGGGAAAGGCGGGTGGCGGAGCCGACGGGGATTTCCCTCGCGACCTGGAGCAACTGGCCAGCATGTGCGATCGGCTGGACACGCTACTGAACAAGGAGCCACTGGCTCGGCGGCAGACGTGCAAGGCGCGCGTGGATCAGATCCGCTTCGACTACCAGACGTTGGCGCGCAACTACGAGTCGCACCATCGGCGGCTGGCCGCGCACGAGCGCCAGACGCACGAGCGCGAGGAGCTGATGGCGCGGCAGTTCACGCGCAACTCGCAGGAGACCAGTCTGTTGCTGGACAGCGCACTGCGTGAGAACACTTCGCTGCAGTCGAGCACGCAGGGCCTGGACGACCTCATCGGCCAGGGACAGAGCATTCTGAGCAATCTGCGCGACCAGCGCTCCATACTGAAGAACGCGCAGCGCAAGGTCCTGGACGTGATGACCTCACTGGGCCTGAGTAACACGGTGATGCGACTCATCGAGCGCCGCAGCTCCCAGGACAAGCTGATCATGTTCGGTGGCATGCTGGCGGTGTTGCTCTTCATGTTCTTCTTCTACCGCTGGTATCACAGCTAGACCCACCTCCTATGATGTCATTGTACTAGGTCAGTTAAGTAGTGTGTGTGTGTGTGTGTGTGTATGCGTATGACATCATCAAATGAATGATGATATCATCGGTGCGCACATGGTGTGCGCATTCCCTTGGAGGGAATGTCCAGGGGGAGTTTCCTCGTCTGCAGCCCACTCACACACACTGGAAATGGATAGTGAGATGGTGTGTGTGTGTGTTTATGTGTGGTTGTGGGCGTGTGTGTGGTGTGCGTGTATGTGGTGTGCATGCGTGTGTGTGTGTGTGTGTGTGTGTGTGTGTGTGTGTGTGTGTGTGTGTGTGTGCGCGTTGCAGCGCTGAGGCTGTGAGCGTACTGTGAAGGAAATTGGTGGAACATCGATGTACACGATGGCCACGACTATATCTGTATCCATGCTTGACTATAGATGTGCTGGCTTGCTGGCAAGCAGCATCTCTCATTGCAACTGCACCATTATTATAGACTATAGACTATAGAGTGTTTGCCCTGGAGACCTACAATTACCGATCGGCTCCTACGGCTGCTGCTGCTGAGTAACTTATGTGGCTTGACTGGCTTTGAAAAGCAGAATCCACATCGCTATTGTTGCCATTGCTGGTAATCGACTGACTCCGCGCCGTCACCTGCGGCCTGCTCTCACGTGATGCTGTGTTTTGTGAATAGCAAAGTGAGGACTGCCAGTACACCTGTCTTGCACTGCCACCCCTGACTTGAACCCCCCTGGCCTATTTACCCAGCTGTCGTCATCGATGCTGCAGAGCTTGTGCAGACATGCCAGTACCGAATGATCTTGATTCACTGCCATGCCGGTTATCCCCACTGCAGTGGTGTGTTTGACTGCAGTGGTAACAAGCTGGATCTGTTTGAGCTGATAGTGATGGTGTTCCGTCATCATCCCCCCCCCCCCCTCCCCCTCCCGCACATTTATTTTATTCGCCATTTTGATTGAGACCCATCTTCTCCCCTCCAGACACGCCAGTATGGTTCTGGCCTGTTTTTCTGGACCATGGACGGCAGTGTCCTTCGTTGACAGTGCAGAGTTTCGTTGTTTTTTTTTAGTTTCTGCTGTGTGTTGACAAAATTTAATATTTGTCACGGCTATTATTCTTCCCATGCTGCCTTCTACCATGCATGTACATGTATCTTATATTATGGATAGTCTCCACTTCCTCCAACATGGAATACCTGTTTTTGAAGTTGTGTTCCAATAATATGGACTGGTACAAGGAGTATAGTCCCAGACGAGTCCTATTCCATCACCAGGGAATAATCGTATAAACCTGTTATGACACCCTGACTGGTGGGCCCCTTGCCGCTAATCCTGATAATTCGAACCCCGAAATGCCGGTGAAAAACTTCTAAAGTACCTGTATCGGGACATTCCAACTACTGATATCCAGACATGTACCCACATTGCGCTATGCACCGTAGAGGCAACAACAAGCCGACGAGCCTGTAGGACTGTCCCCATAATATTATGCGCTTATACGCAAGTTCTGGCGATATTTTAAAGTGTTTGCCAGGTCGATTGGTCTCACATAGATAGAGCGCGTGTGCTTGTGAAGTTGTGTTACCAGTATGGAATGTGGAAATTGCACGTGAGACCCTGTAAAGATGCTGTCATAGTGGCCGATCAGAGCGTAGCGGGATGCAGCGGTTCACTTACAACTAACCAGGCCTGCTGGAACAGGTCCGATTGGTTGGTCAGGTTATCACCGGACCAGCCTTTTGGCTACCAATAATGTGTTCAGTACTGTGTGTGTGGGGGGGGGGGGGGGCACAACTATAATAATAAAAGTACATAATTATTATGTATCCACCACTTCGATACACAAACAGTATGAAAGGCCACAATACTACCGGACCAATCAAAAACTGCTTCCGACAGTCCTGCTAGCCCATCTGCGGCTTATATTATGCGAGGGTACGCTTATGCCCGGATATAGGCACACGACGTGCCAATACGGTAACAAGCGCAGACCAAACCGGATACAAACATTTCCGAACGCATCCACTCATGACTGTTACTTTCAGCAAAATTTATAAAATGATAGAAGAACCGTAAAAAAAAATAATAGCAAGCACAGCTAGGTAGGGCTTGGATAGTCAGAGAAATTGATTTTTCTTCATTTGAATGTGATCAGACAGCAAGAAAATGTGGTTTTACAAAAGTGGTCATGCCGTCTAGACAAGGCGCATGGGAAAGAATGCCGGAATATCTCAACAACACAGATCTGGGGCTTGCTAACTCCAAGAGAGAGAGAAAAATAGGTATACGTATTGTTTGGCTGATGTGCCTGCCCTCAGCTGCAGTAACAAAGCACGGGGGATAAAACTCAGTCCAGAAATAAACAAAACCATGATAGAGGTCACTGGTCAGTGCGGTCCTGTGTGGTGGATATAACAATAATACTAGTCTTGTACTGCACAATCCAGTGCAGACAAACGGGTATTCCCCCATTTTCATCACGTGACGCATCACACGCGCACATGACCGATGCATGTGATGAGTGAGTCACAGTGGTGCGTAGCGTGCCAGTAGGTCATGTGACAAGATTCAAGTCAACACTGATCACGTGACTGATTATGAGTGTGATCATGTGATCTCTTTTCCCTCTCATAGAATCACGTGCGGGTATGGGTGCGGAGCAAAGCTGGGTGCTGTTGTCGTGGCAAGCGCCTTATCCTTCGCTGAGCGTGAACCAGACACTGGGGAAGTAGATCTGCATGAGGTCACTGGCCGTCTGCAGTGGCATCTCCAGGCACTGGAACAGCTGTAGAATAGTGGGGTGGACACGCATTTGCATGCATACACACATATACATACGCACACATACGCATGCCGCACATGGACATGCACATGGACACACAAATGTGCACATACACACACACACACACATGCACGTGCACACACACACACACACACAGACACACAAAGAATTTGTGTAAGTCAACCACCTTGTCAATACCCTTCAGATCGGACTCTCTCACACATGACACATGCACAGACTTCCACACATGCACAGACTCCACACATGCACAGACTTCACACATGCACAGACTTCCACACATGCACAGACTTCACACATGCACAGACTTCCAAACACCAGAAACCTACACCGCAACACTTCCCAGCGGCTAGTTGCCATGACATTCACAATAGCACAGCAACACAGTCACGCCTTAGCCAGGACATTCACGATTGAAAGATCCACGATGAAAAGGTACTACTTTTGCCCGTAGCCTGCATGGGAGATAGTAGAGGTTGAATACATCACGTCAAAGTGATTACATACCAGTGTGCCTCTGTGGTCTGCTGAAAGTGGAGTCATAGGGGGGGGGGGGGGGGGGGGGGAGGGGGGGGGGGGTCAGCCTCGTAACCTACACCGTATTATAGTCTAAGCTAGGCTGGTCGTTCTTCAGCACGCCGTTCTTCGGCACTCCGTTCTTCGGCGCTCCGTTCTTCGGCACCTGGCAGTACTGTATACAGAACAAGGTTCCTACGTATTCTCATCTTTAGCGGCGCAGGATATGCATCCAGAGCTCATATACTCGTACTCATTTTTTTTAATCCTGGTGGTGAGTCAATTTTTTCTTCAGACTTTTCTCGTTTGTGTCTTTCCATCGAGCCAGTCAATACTCTTTTTTCTGTTGCTTTTTGCTTATTTAACCCAAACTCTTCTCCTTGAAAGATTGATACTAATACGTACCAATAGGCATACTGCTTTGACTGTCTGTGGGAAAGCTTGCAATATCAGTCCGGATACCAGTGACAGCAGACAGGCACTGACGCTGAGTCGCACACTCAGTGGGGTACGCTTGAACGGGTGTGACGAGACCGCATGATGTGCTGGAAGAAACGCAACAAAGATGTTACACACACACACACACACACACACACACACACACACACACACACACACAC